AGCACAAAGACTCCCACTTCGTTTTGGACAGATGATTGTGGCCGCGAGATCTTGAAATCTCGCGGCCCACAGTTCACACACGGAAAGCAAGAGGGGGTTGGAGTTGAGTGGAGAGTGAGAGAGAAAGAGAAATGGGAGGATGGGGAGAGGAGGACCTGCTCCTCCCGACCTGCCAGCTGCTTCCCCGTTGTTAGGGGGGGTAAGAAGAGAAAAGAAAAGAAAAGAAGAAAAAGAAAAGAAAAAGAAAACGAAAAAACGGGATTTGAGTTTTTCTGAGAAGCTGTATTTTTCAGTTTGCGCCACTATTTTTTGGTGGCGCAAAATAGTTTTGTTGACCTTGATGTTTTTTCTGTAGGTAGTCAAGCATGTACGCCATGTGCATGAATGTTTTTAGATTTTTTTATCTAGCGAATATTTTTCTAAAATTCTTCAAAGTCGGGGTACTTTTTGCACCCCGCTTTGAGGCTGTCGGAATTTGAACTCGTGGTTCTTTCCCTACCTCTCCCAATCTGACAACTGCCATCCCCATTTTCAGGGGAGGGCAGGGGAGAAAAGAAAAGAAGAAGAGAAAAGAAGAAGGGGGGGGACTTAGGCAAAACGAGGCTGCTAGAGCAGCAGCAAAAATAAAAGAAATAACATACCTGGCCACTGTCGGGGCCAGGTTCCCAAACGGTGCAGCAAACCAGCAAGGGGGCTTGCACCGAATATGGCCAGGGTTCTTGTGCAGCAAACCGGCTAAGAGCCTGGCTCTGAACTTGGCCAGGTCTAGGAGAAGGTTCACTGCTGAGATTGAACCTCAGCAGTAGCAGACCAACAAGGGTTGTGGCTAGATACAGCCCCCCCTTGCTGGTTTTACAGCAGGAAAAGGGCCAGGTCCTTTTCTTTATGAGTGGACCTGGCCATTTCTGCTGTGTGGGGCTGGTATGTGCCCTTGATCTCAGCCTGAGCTCAAATTTTTGGCCGAGAGCTCAGGCTGCTACCACTACCTCCCACAACTATAAAAGCAGCCAGCAAGCAGCCAGCCAGCAATCATTTGTGGTTGGTGCCGCTAGCAATTCACTTGAGTGAATGCTGGCTTGCTACTGCTGGGAGGAGCTGCTAGTGAGAGGAGGGGGAACTGCTGCTGGTTGAAGAGGAGGTCTGGAGGCGAGGGAGGAAGAAAACTGCTGGAGGTGGCCATAGTTGTGAAACACAGCCATAGCCGCCATCTCAGCAAGGTGAAGAGAGAGGGAAGCGCTGGACGTCTGCAGGGAGCATGAGAGGGAGGCAAGCCATAGCTGCCGCTGCAGCTGATGGGGCGCAGAGGAAACTCTGCCCGTTTTGCACGGCAGCGGCAGGGTCTTTAGCAAGCGGCGCAGGGGAAACTCTGCCCATCTTGCACGGCGGCGGCGAGTCTTCAGCAAGCGGTGCAGGGGAAACTCTGCCTGTTTGGCACGGCAACGACGACGCTTTTTGACGGTGATGCGGAAGCGCTGCCGTTTTTTTTTTTTTTGCGGCAGCGGCAGTGCGTTCTAGGTAGTGACGCGGAAGCGCTGCCAATCTTTTGCAGCGGCATCGCTAAGATTTTGGTGGTGACGCGGAGGTGCTGTCGAAATCTTCCGGCGTCGACGGTATTTTTGCTGGCAGCGACGCGGACGTGCTGCTGAACTTTTGCGGCGGCAACAGCACGTTTTAGGTGGTGACGTGGAAGCGCTTAGACTGTGAGGGGCATTTTGTGGCAGCATGTTCTGGTATTGTCGGCAACGGCGTGGTGGTGCGGTTGGTGGCGGAGACGCTGAGACGCCGTCAGATTACTGAGAGGTGGTTGTGTGTTGAGAGGGTGTCGCGGCAAGCGACCGTACTAGAAAGTAGTGTAGATCGTTTTGCGGGCGACTTGTTGTGACGATTGTCTTCTCTTAAGTGTGATTTTACACGGTCTTCTTGAGTGGGCCGTCTCTTCAACTTCACTCACGGTCAGTTGTTTGACTCAGACCCCTTCACACCTATGTGAACCCACACTTGCTTGACCCTATTCTTTGAATGTTCATTGGATAGGTAGAGAAGATGTGTGTTTGCGTGTGTGAATGAAAGTCTGATGTGAGTGTGAATTGCATTGTTTTCCTTTGAACTTGTTGTTTGATCTGATGTGCAGGTAGGTAGAAGAAAGCTTGAAAACGAGATTGGCCATGTCAATGAAAATGGGGACAGGGTGTTTGTCTTCTATCTCTTGTTTGCATGTTTGTCACAAGAGAGAAAATCAGTTGACGACGATAAAAGGAACGATCGCACACACAAAAAAAAAGAAACTTAATCGGACATGGAGTCGTTCCAGATGTTACCCATTCTTTCCCGAATGACCACCTTTGTCTATGTCCGTCTGCCTGAATGCTTTCCTTCTCTGTGATCTTCTTCTTCGTTTAGGTTCACCTTGACGTCAGGCGGCAAGGGGTTGATCGTCTGCTGTGGTAGAGGCGTTTCCTTTCCCTAGGAGGCATCTGAGGCGGGGGTTCGTTGCCTTAGGGGTCGGCCCTGTGATCGACTCGGAGTGGACCTCACTGCGGGGGGATACCATGCTGTTGTGGCGGAGCCGGCCCGACTTCTGAGATCCGAGGTTCACTCGGGCGAGGACGAGGGGTATCCCAGACCACCTCCTAGGGGATGGACATGCGCTATTCACAGAAGACGTTAAGTCATTGTCGGCTTACGCGAAGGAGGACCGTCATAGGTTACCCTTTGTGACCGTCTTAGGAGCCACAGACGAATGGAGAACTGACGCCATAAGACGCCCAGTTCGTGTTTTCACTAGCTATGAACAGAGTGCGACTAGGCACTATCTTCGCGGATAGGGTTGCACCATAAGAAGTGCAAACCTGAGGAGATCAGACTAGTTGACGGGAAGATGTGAATAAAGTATTGCTGTAAATATCTTCATGTCGAAAGCTGGTACTTTGGAACAGAAAGAGTAATTATTGTTCAGGAGGACAGAGCGACCGACAAAGTTTGAAGGTGGATCGCTGACCTTAATGGGGCATCGAGCGTCCGATTGTTCGAGCTGATCGCTGATTTGTATAGATGGTAGCCGAGTTATTTGCAGATGACATTCACACCTAAGTTAGAGGAAAAACGTGAAGTCGTCATTAAAACAATGACACTCTAAGAGAGTTGGGGTGCTCATATTCCGTGCTAGCAGTCAGTATGGGGCGGAATGAAAAAACTTGGCAACGCATCTCATCCAGTCGAAAAAGTCGTGACGGTCCAGCCGTCTAGCAGGCAGAGTGAAGATATTTTAGTCAGACGCCACTTCAGTGTCGCCTTGTGTATTGGTCATGTTTTGAGCTTTTATTGATAGGTGTTGTTTGAAGCCAAGTCAAC